GACAACCGCGAGGTTCGAACTCGCGCCTCCGAAGAGACCAGGACCTTAACCTGGCGCCTTAGACCACTCGGCCAGGTTGCCTACTACCTTGCTGTTGTGAGGTATCAGAATCAGATTATGGATCGGATTATGTCAGCGAGCATAGTCGAGCCAGTAAGAGCCGAGGAAGTTACAGTAATGGACTGTAACAACATAGAAGAACCAATAAGGGCAGAGGAACTACAGTAATGGACTGTAACAACAGAGAAGAGCCGTAAGAGCCGAAGAATTACAGCAGTCGACTAGATTCAAAGAGAGACTGAGAGAAGGTTAGAAATAATATATAAAGAGAGAATCCTGCGAAGAAGATTCTTTCAAGAGGAAGTTTAGAAAAGGATTAAGCAATTAATACAAGCCCAAGTTTACCTTAAGGAAACCGTAAGCTCAGTATAAACCTCAGACCCAGGACTTAGGTATAGGAGTCAGGAAAGAATAAGCCAAGGTATAATAAGAAGCGTTCAGAGCTGAGAGTTCTGGAGATTATTATAATTGGTATTGTGCAGAGGAAGAAATCTCACAGTTGGTAGCGTCTCGCAAGGTTGAGGATTACTGGAGCTATGTCTGGAGGATACGGAATCCCAGAGGTCGACATGGACTCGGAAGCAAACTTCGTCAGGTTGGGCGAACACATGCGTATCAAGGAGTTCCATGGAAACATCAATGCAGAAGAAGTGTTAACTTACATTGATGCAGTCACAGCACAATGCTCCGTCATGGGTGCTGTCACTGGGATTACCTGGCTGAAGGTATTCGAAATGCACTTGCAGGACACAGCCAGAAGATGGTACACGAAGTACAAGATCGGTCAAGAAGCAGCAAACCAGCTGTCAGTGGAACAGACTGTCGCCGACTTCAAGAGCAGATTCCTGCCAACCGGATACCAAGAGATCGCCACAGAAAAGATCATAGCGCTGAAACAAAGCGGACCGGTTAGCGTATACTGCGATCGCTTTGAGCAACTAAGAGAACTGTTGCCAAGACCACTTCAAACCGAAGGAACCCTGCAGATACTTTTCATAAGAGGGTTAGACCCGGCCATCAGAACAACGGTCAGAAACCAAAGACCGGTGGACCTGACTGACTGCTATCGCCATGCACAATGGGCAGATGAGCAGAGAGAGCCAGACTACCGCAGAAGGGGTTTCGGTGGAAGCCGCCAGCGTAACGGACGCCCATTACCAGGCAAGCGCGCACCTTTGGTCACACGCGAGCTAGAGTACGAGGATAGAATGGACCTGGATGCCATGGCCGCAGAACCTCATAGAAACAACAGGAGAACCACCACGGGAAACTCCCAAGGGTGCTTCCTGTGTGGAGAGAAAGGCCACTTCAAGCGCGACTGTCCTCAAAACGGGAGGACTACCTCAAGAAAACAATAGAATCGTCCTAGCAGCGATTGAAGTGAAAACAGAAAACCCCGAAAAACAAAAAAACAATACAAAATCCGAAAAAACACAAAAACAATTCAAAACAACAGAAAAACCAAAAAACAATACGAAGAAAGAAGACTACTCGACGGAACCAAGACTACTGAAGGTACCTGTCGCAGCACAATCTATCATACTCAATGCAACATACAACAATGTGACAATATCAGCACATGTTGATTCGGGAGGTCATTGTAACTTTGTCTCCGCCGACTTGGTAGAGGAACTTGAGTTACAACAAGAAAGGACCAAACCCATGATAGACCAATACGCAAACAGGGCGTAACAAGCACAGCAGATACCGGAGTGCAACTCCCGATTGAGGTGAAACTCAATGACACAGTGTCAATCAAGACCAACATTTTGTGCTATGTTGTGGAAGAACTACACTGTCCACTATACCTAGGACTACCATTCCTACAAAAATATGGGGAACATATCTCTTGGAGAGATATCAAACTGAGAGCTGATGAGAGTATGCCAGCCACAGGGATGAGTGAAGACGAGATCCACGCAACAGAGCGGGATGAACACGAGACTCAGGAGACCAAGATGAGTGAAGACGAGATCCACGCAACAGAGCGGGATGAACACGAGACTCAGGAAACAAAAATGAGTGAAGACGAGATTCAGGTAACAGAACCGAATGAACACGAGACTCAGGAAATAGAACTGAATGAAATGAAGATTCAGGAAGCGGCAGACATCGAAGCGGATAATAGCAGATGGAAACACAGTAAGACCGTGGGAGCCGCGGAGGACACTTTAGTTGAGGCAGAACAGTTTGAGAAACTGGCCAAGAAACAGTCAAACTATGTGGCATTGATGCAAATCGAGGTACTTGATAAGGGAACATTCAAGGTACAGGACCGATTGGGCAGCAAGGCAGAACAGAAGTACGCGAAGGAAATTCAGACGATGTTGGAAAAGTACGCAGAGGTAGTTACTGATGAGGAACCCAAGGGAGAACCGGTTGAGCGAGAGATAACCCACAGAATTAGACTGATAGAGGGTACGCAACCGATTCATAGGTCACAGTACAAGTTGAGCTTTGAAGATAAGCAAGAACTGCAAAGACAAGTCGCTGAATTAATTGAAAAGGGATTTATTCGAGAGAGCGAATCACCCTTTAACGCACCGGTACTCTTTGTCAGAAAGAAATCAGGAGAGATGAGACTTTGTATCGACTACAGAGCACTCAATACTCAGACGGTAAAGGACAGATTTCCTATACCATTGATAGACGATATTCTCGCAGCGTTCGGAGAGTGCAAATACTTTTCCAAATTGGATCTTAGATCGGGTTATCACCAGGTCAGAGTTGCTGACCAAGATAGATGGAAAACTGCTTTCAGTACTGCAAGAAATCACTATGAGTGGAACGTGATGCCATTCGGACTCACGAATGCACCAGCGACGTTCCAGAGAATGATGAATCGAGTGTTGAAGGATTACATTGGAGATTTCGTCGAAGTGTACTTAGATGACATCATCATCTATAGTAAGACGAAGGAACAACACATTCACCATTTAGACAAGGTTTTGAGCAAGTTGAAGGATGAGCAACTGATATGCAAAAAGAAGAAGTGTGAGTTCTTCAAAGAGGAAATCAAATTCCTAGGGTTTACCATATCAGCAGAAGGAATCGCAATGGATAACGACAAAGTCAGCGCAATCGAGACTTGGCCTAAGATTGAAACGCCTAAGCAGGCACAGAGATTTTTAGGACTAACCAACTTCTACCGCAGATTTGTCAAAGGCTATTCACAGATTGCTATTCCAATTATCAACTTTGCAGCTAAGAAACAAACATGGACGGAGAAACAAGACGAAGCATTCGAACAGTTGAAGAAGGCTATGACAACAGCACCATTACTTGTCAGCCCCAAGTTCGAAGACGGATACAAGTTCCAGATAACTACTGACGCCTGTGGTACAGCACTAGGGTATGTGCTAGAACAACTAGACCCAGCAGGTAAAGTCATTGGAGTTATAGCGTACGGTAGTCGCAAGTTGCAAGGACCAGAACTACGATATCCGGTTAGGGAATTAGAATTCATGGCTATCATAGTTGCAATCAAGACTTGGAAATACTACCTAGGATCACGGAAGTTTATCATCAAGACAGATCATCACTCGTTGATTTACCTGAATAGACAAGAACAATTGAACAGTAACAGAATGGCAAGATGGATTGATTTCCTAGCGCAATTCGACTTCGATATTGTCTATATCAAGGGTAAGAACAATACATTGGCAGACGCACTGTCAAGACGAGATGACCCGCCAGAGACCGTGAGCTTAGAAGCTATGGAATACACACAGGAAATAAATGACGAATTGAGAGACCAAGTCCTCAAAGGATATGAACACGACGCAGAATTTGCAACAATTTACGACGTGTTGAAACATGACAAACCAGTTCCAAAGGAGATACGTCATTACATCACACACTTCAAACTAGAGAATGGATTCCTACTTTACAATGCCGTTGAAGGAGGTGACTACCAGTTAGTGATACCAAATTATCGGGACTTACACGATAGACTAACGTTGAATGTACACGAGTTACCTACAGGAGCGCATTTTGGAGCATTCAAAGTTTACGAAGTGTTACGCAGACAATTTTATTGGCCAAAGATGTACAAGAAGATCACGAAGTTAATTCGTTCTTGTGACATTTGCCAACGGTCAAAACAGGCAACAACATTGACAAAAGGACTTTTGAAACCACTGCCAATTCCTGGGAAAAAGATGAGTTGGATTACAATGGACTTCCTGACAGGAATTCCTACGACCAAGAAAGGATTTGACATGATCTTTATCATTGTTGATCGCTTATCCAAACGATGCAAATTCATCCCATGCACCAAGAACTTGACAGGTGAAGGAGCAGCAGAGCTATTCATTAGTCACTACTTTTGCAATTTCGGAATTCCTCAGAAAATCGTATCTGATAAAGATATCCGATTTATGGGAGGATTTTGGCAGACAATTACACGAAACCTAGGAATATCACTACTTAATACTACCACATCACATCCACAGACGGATGGTCAATCAGAAAGACAAGTGAAAACAGTGAGTGAACTACTACGAATGGTGTGCTTTGGAAACATATACGATTGGGAGAGATTTTTGCCAGCAGTTGAATTCGCTTGCAACTCTACAGTTCAACAATCTACACAACGAGTACCATTTGAAGTTGACTATGGTATGATTCCAGATTCACCAACGTTCACCAAGATGTGGGATTTAGACAAACATTACGATCCTAGAGCTGAAGAAGAAGCACAAGCAATGGAGGCAGTTATGAGACAGACTCAAGATTTCCTCGCAGAAGCTCAACGTGCACAAGAAAAACAACATAATAAACATCGAACAGCAGCAGTGTTCAAGGTTGGCCAGTACGTTCTCGTTCATAAGTTGGTTTGGGGGGGGAAGAGACACTTACTCGAAGTTGAAACCATTATACTTCGGACCCTTCCAAATTGTCAAAGTGATCAATGAGAATGCAGTAGAACTTACACTACAAGGAGGTACAAGGAAACAAAAAACTATTAATGTCCAATGGTTAAAGGAATATGTGGAAAGGGACAAAAAATGGCGAAAACAACCACCACACTTTCCAGACTATGCCACGAGAAGAATTAATGAAGTCGCAGCGATTGTGGGACTCAACGATGAAGAACAGACTTATAGTGTCATTTGGGACGGGTGTGATCCTACACATGCTACACAAATCACATATAGTCAGTTTGAGATGATCGAAGAATCAAGAAAACGAGAGCTTAAGATGGACATAGATTTGTTACAACCAGTACCAGAAAGATTAAGAAATGCAAGTCGTACAGAAGATCCAACGACCTTTCTCCAACCAGAGGAACTATAATGATGGGGACCATCATTTGAAGTGACGGGGGAGAATGTGAGGTATCAGAATCGGATTATGGATCGGATTATGTCAGCGAGCATAGTCGA